GGCAGGCAGGCTCGGTGGGGACGGGGATTGCATGTGCTCGACGCGTCGTGGAGAAGAGGCGCAAGCCGGGAAGCAGCCGCACGCGTGGGGCCCAGCGCGGCGCGAGCTCGGCGCCTGATCCGCAGGGCGCAGCTGCGCCCCGCCGATGACACCGTCCGGCGATCGGCCCCTCGGCCACGGGGCTGTCGCCGCGCCCGCGCCGACCGCCGCACCTTGTTGTCCCGCTCGAGCGGCTTATCCCTGTCGCACAGCTTCCGCAGCAGCTCCGCGATGCGCCTGTCGCCCCACTCCTTGTGCTCGCGCAGCGACGCCAGCTCAGCAGCCACCGCCGGTGGCACCTCCTGCTGCTGCTGCGGCTGCTGCGGCTGATGCTGCTGCCGCCGCTGTTGCTGCTGCCGCGTTTCGGCGTCTGTGCTTGCCGCCAGGAGCCGAGCCGCGCCGCAGGCCTCCGGCGGCCGCGGGGGCAGCAGCGGCATCGCGCCCATAGGCGCCGAGCTAGGGTCTGGCGTCGCCGGGACCACGCCGGACGGCGGCGGCGCGAGCTGCTGTTTTTGCTGCTGCGCCTGCAGCAGCTGCGACTGAGGCGGGCTTGGGGTCCGCGGGCTGGGGGGCAGCAGCAGCACATCGCCCGCCGCCCTTGACCGCGGCGACGGGGAGCACTCTTCGTCGGCGGCCGGCGCATCTCCTCGGGAGGCAGCTTCCCGGCCGCGGGCCCAGAGGCCCGAGGCTGTCAGTCCCGCCGTGGCGGTCGCCGCAGTCGTGCCGCTAGCAGGCTCGCAATCTGGCTGCTGCTGCTGCTGCTGCTGCTGCTGCTGCTGCTGCTGCTGCTGCTGTTCCTGGTGATGCTGGTGCTGCTGCTGGTGTTGCAGGCTAATCAGTCGCTCAGTGAACGAACGCAGCTCAGTGGCGATCGTGAGCGCACTGCTCATGCACTGCCCCAGCTCGCCTCCGCCCTGGAAGCAGCCGCGCCCGCCGCCCGCTTGCGCATCCCCATCGGTGTTGTTGCTGGCCGCAGCCACGGCCCCGCTGCCCCGTTGTTTGTCTGCCGCACCCGCTGCCTCGCCCCCTGCGGCCTCCGATGTGACACGTCCCCCCGGGCCCGCCTCGCTGGAAGCCAGCTCCACCACCGCCGCTGCGTCCGCGCCCACGCCTGGCCGCGCAGCCCCGCCTCCCACACCCTCGCCGCGGCCGCCCGGCAGCTGTGGCGCGTCGCCCAGGCAAAAGGCGGAAACAAGCTCCACTGCCTGCTGAGGGAGGTCTGGCAGCCGCCGGCGGGCCTCGTCATCTGCAGGCTGGTGGTCTGGGCACTCGAGGACGGCCTGCAGGGTGACCGGCCTGCCCCGCGGCAGCACCGCGGTCGGGGGAGGCAGCGACAGGGGCGGTGGGCGGAGTGGGTGAGTGGAGTGATGCAATGACATGTCCAGGAGCAGCCGTGCAAACCTGGTACTCAAGCATATGGTATCCAGGTAACTTGGTGCTTCATTTCAGCAAAATTAGCCAAGGATGCTCAAAACTCAAACGACATTCCCGTGCCGCCGGGCAGACGCAACAGCGCAGGCGTGCAGATCGCACAAGCGCCAACTTTTGCAACAACAGCATTTGGACTGCAATCAGTCCCACACCTGCTGAGCTCAGTGGCATCCGCCTCCTGCAGCGCCCACTGCTCCGCAGCTTCAGCGGCGTGCTGCCGAGGCCCGCCATGCGCGCGGGCCTCAGGGCATAACTGCGGAGAGGAGCGTTGCCCTGCGAGCGTCAGTGCTGCTCGCCATTCGGCCGCACCAAAGCTGCACTCGTGGATTCTCAAAAGCAGCCATAACCATGCACTGCAGCAGCGTGCATGCGTGTTCCGGCGACGATTCGCATGTGTGAGAGAGCGCCGCGCATGCAGTGGGCCACCCTCACGCGCCAACGCGCAGCCCACCAGAGCTTGCTGCTCGGGCAGGCCTGCGCTTGTCAGGCCGTCAAACTCCGGCCCCGCCTCCGAGCCGTCCAGCGCGCCGCCTAGGCGCGCACGCAGCACGTCTGGGCGGACCGGCAGCATGAGCGGCAGGGCCTGCTGCAGCAGCGCCGCCTGCTGCGTCGCCGAAGCGAGCATCTGCGAGAGGCGGGTGGTGAGCGGGCGAGGCGAGGCTTTCAGATGTGGCGCCGCGAATGAGGTACCACCGTGTTTGAGAGTAGATTCTGAAGGGCTGACGCGCCACTCATCCAGCACCTATGATTTGCGTCGCAAGCCTGCGGCGTCGCGTCAACCGGCGACGGCATGTCCTCACACACAGGCGGCTGTGTCCGCCGCACCTGCTGTGCCAGTGCAAGCTGCAACTGTGTTGTGGTTGTGGTGACATGGTCTCCAGGCACGCTCTCCTTGACTTCAAGTTGCGCTTTTGATGTGGCACAGGCGGGGGCCGAGCCCAGCACCTGCCCTTTCCTGGCTTTATGCTTGGTCATGTCGTTTGAAAAGACAAATCAGGATCATATCATGGGTACCGCTGCTGCAACGAATCGACCAAGGCTTGACAAGACACAGCTGATGTGACGGCGATGCTTGCAAATGAGCGGTTTTCGGATACGAAACAATGCGAGCAGTGCATCTGTGTATCCAGCCTACAAATCCCGGTCTATTGCTCGCTTCGGTATGATCTGATCCCAACGCAGCTTCGGCCCCGCACCATGAGCGAAGCACATATCCACTGATACATGTGTACATTTATAATAAATTTTTGACTGATTGCGAAACCTGAGATACAGCCACCGTCGTCCAGCATTTGCACATAGGACACAGCACAACTTTGGCACTTTGTGCAGCATCTTGAAAGGGACCGTAAGCCTAGCGCAGCGTGGACGCGAAGCAAGTGCGTTGACTTGATCGGGTCTGTGGACGCAAGCGACTGGAGGCCACGCGGCAGCAAAGCGCACGGGCAGCGGCGCGGTGGGGGCGCATTACTGACCTCCATCCGCCATCCCAATCCCCGCAGGCCCGTCCCCACGGCCCCCACGATGACGGGCCCCCCCGCCCCGGACGGCGCCGGCCCCCACGCCTGCCCGCCCGCCGGCAGCCCCGTCGGCGCGCTGTGCCGCGCGCTGCCCAGCTTTGCACGGCTGCCGCCTGTCGAGGCCGTCGTGTTTGCGTGGGGCGCGTCGGAGGACCACCAGCTGGGCCTCGACGCCACCGCCAACTGCAGCGGCCCCAAAGTGGTCGAGGCGCTGCTGGGGCTGCAGCTCATGGGGTGAGCGCGCCGCCGGCCCGCGGCAGGGGGACGCCACGGCGGCGCCGGCGGCTGCCCTGCAGAGCGTGGGCGGAGGCGAAGCCCCGCGCGCGCGCCGCCGCCGTGGCGAGGCCGTGGCGCCGATCAGGCAGGCTCGATGAGCAGCGCTGAGGCGGCGCAACCGCTGCTCGAACCGCCCACGGACTTGCACCAGCTGCGTCGAACGGAGCCCCGGACCAACCTCGTCAACACCCTCACCCCTGCGGCCCCCTCCGCCCCCTTCCGCCC